TTCCAAGGGCTGTTTTTAAACCCCTCAGAGCAGGAGCGGGTGACCACCCCGCTACAGGCCCTACACTCATTGAAAGAGTCTAGATTGGGCCTCCACTCCCTGGGAATTTATACTCCAGTCCCGAAGGGACAACACGAACTACAGGTGTACAGACCAAGGCTACCGCCTCCTCAAACATTCTACCACCAGCGTCCAGTTGAGCCTCCAAGTAAAAGACAAAAGGTTCAGAGGCCAAGGGCTGCTTCTGATGAGAAGTGCTCACAGTTATTGAAGCCACCCACTTCTACCCTCCTTGTCTTTGGGGGCTGTCTCTCACTTTTTGCCCATAATTGGGACTCTATCACAACACGTGATTGGGTTTTAGAAATTGTTCATCCAGGTTACACCATCAAATTTCTCTCCTTCCCTTCCCACAAACCCCATTCCTGACTCCACTTGAGGGACCACTTTCATGAATTGATTCTTCAGCAGGAGGTAGACTCTCTCCTCTGAAGAGAGACAAAAGAGCAAGTGCCACCTCAATATCAAGGGAGAGGCTTCTATTCCTCTTATGTGTTAGCCCCAAAAAAGATAGATGGAAGATACCAATTTTGGACTTTGAAATCTCAACATCTTTATTCAGGGAGTTTTAACTCACCTGGTTCAGATTGGGGGGAGGGGGGTGGAAATGCCACTTGTAATAAGACCAGAGAAAGAAGAGTTTGTCAACTGATGAGGTGGAAGTACAGAAGACCAAGATGTAGTTCAGTGCCAAAGGAGACCTAACCAAGCATCAAATGGAATCTAAAGGCAATAATCCAGGATCAAGCTCCCTACCACCTTTTCCCAAAGGCAAAGTGGTATGGTTCATGCTTGGTGTTGAATCAGCTTGGTCCCTCTGTATGCTTGGTAGACCTGGGAAGTAAAGGGCAGAGTTGGGTTCAAAAAAGCCAACTCAAAGCTCACTTTAAGTAAGTAAGGAAAGAAGCGAGAAATGCTTTCTTCCCTTTTTGTCTTACAAATTTGCATCCATGAAGTGATGGTGGCTTACAACATTGTGTGCCCTAATGCGAAGGGCCTGGAGTTGGTCCCAAGGCTTAGAAACCAATCCAGTTGGTAATTCGTCAATCCTAAGATCACCACAGAAGTACAACAGGCTCCAATTGCACCATAAAAATAAACAAAAAAAAGTCTACAAACCACCATCTGGAATTAAACAAAACCAATCTACCTTTCTGAAA